ACGTGAAAATTTAATTTTTCTCCGGTGGACAATATACACGCGAATTGAATTATTAGGAACTAATGATTGAATAAACACGAATCTGCACGAATCGGCTATTTTCAATTCGACTGGCAATTGGTCCAGAGTATCTAATTTCCTAAATATATATATATATATATATATGCGCATAATGCATCTACATAACCGGATCGTCGATTCGAATGATTATCGAGCCCCGCATAATAGGAGGTCGGTTAAATACTCTCGTATCAGAGGTTAATGACTTATGGAAATTTCTCGCGCGACAGGGTCACATTGTGACAGCGTCGTTCGTTTCTCCTTGTTCTCGTGGAAGAAAAAAAAAATGGCAATCAGATATCACGTAGAGGAGATCGAACGACGAATGATCGACGTTTCGTTATTTTGGACGTGGACCGAGGGGCGTGGCCGATTCAGCCGTGAGATCGTAGACGAGAAATTTCAATTTTCGACGCGAATCTATTTTCGATCGTCAGTGTGAGAGAATGTAATCGGCGAGAATTAACCGTGATGTAGATGACTCGTGAGAATAGATGGCCACGTTTTAAAAGCTGGTGCTGCTGCTACTACGGGCCCACACGTCGCACGAAATTACGCGTGTCAAGAGTTCAAGAGACCATTTCTCTCGAGTCTTTTCTTCTCCAGTAGAGCTTACGCTACGTTGCAACACCGACAGGCGAACACTTGGAAAACGTTCAAGATGTTGTTTACGAGGCGATAGATCCCTCTTTCGGTCTTATATGGCCACGTGTTCGAGACGCGTGTGTCCTTTTCGGTCGATTTTATTTAGCCACGATGCACGGGTTGATTCACTCGGATCTACGGGCGATGAAGAGTAGAGGCTGGTTTCGGAGCGATCAGGGAGGTCGACCGAATCTTCCTTCCATTCCATTCAAATATTTTTAAATATTTGTGTCGAGGATGGATATAACAAAGAGATAATGGAAATTACAATGAATCTGATGATTGTAAGACGAGACAATTAATTATAAAATAATAGTGTAAATAATAATTGTTTAATAAACAAAGGGATTATTTTTCTTATGTGAAATATACGTATATCTTCGGAGAATAATAATAGTGAGGAATATTAAATAGAGGGAAAACGCATTTTCCACGATTATTGTGTCATATTGAAATAATATTAAAATTATGAATAGAAATTGTTGTTGTAATATAATTGTTTAATATAAGAAATAGGTAACGATATCAAGGACAATTCGTTCATTTGTTTATTTTCAACCATTGGAATGTAGATTTTCCTTTAACAGCCGAGGACCGAGAGAAGTTCGAAATAAAATGTGTTTACCGTTACTCGGTTTTTCCGCATTGCGATGCTCGGCCAGACTAGAGAACGTGTCGTACGTTGGTTTTACACTCCGTTTCTCCAATGAAAACGGTGCAAACGTCCTTTGTTTCTGAATTTTCAGACAAATGACCTATTTTTCAAACGGAAAAAGATGAGAATTTCGCCTAGACTCCCATTCACTTTACAAATTTATTACAGCCAGGAAAATAATATAATATTATTTCTTATTTTTCCGAGAGAAACGAATAAATAAATTATATTATTTTGATTGTTTCGAATAAAATTATAAATTCGATGTGATAAAAAAGAAAACAACGCAACTAAAAAAAAAAAAAAAAAAAGAAGAGAGAAATATTCTAAAAATTAGTTACAAGAATCGAAAATCTGAAAAAAATATAATTTTTTTTTTACTACGTTTCTTTGAATTCTTGAAAGATCTTGATTCCTTCGTTCCAACCAATGTACCAATTTGTCACGAAACTCCGGACAGTTCTCTCAATCGATTCCGACACGCAGTTACTCCTTTCTTCAATTCGATTCGATTTTACGCGTACAAAAAAACTTGGAAAACCAATATGCTCCCCTAATGATCCCATTAACTCTGATGATTTTTACGGGACAAACACGCGTATCGTGTCACAATTAAGAACGATTCGAATCGAATTGGTTATTACCTGCCTGGGTGGTGGTAAGAAGAGCACCACGACGATAATTGAACGTCACTTTCATCCTACGTCCTTGAACGTAACAATTTCGTTTTCCAACGCTAAAGTTACCTTAGATGACGGGACACAGTTGCAATCCCCACACGAGGAAATTTCCACTTTTCCAATGGACGAACATGGAATAGCGAACAGTGAATGGATATTTCCACTACGCCACTTTCGTTTTCGATTAGTTTGTTACTAGTTGTTGGCCGCCTGATAACACGAATACCACGCATGCTATTGACTGGGAGCAAAGTCGTAGAATTATGAAAACGCTATTCATTCACTCGTATAGAAAAATATTTGATAAGTCGATGATTATTATCCAACTTGTAGAAAAATATTTGATAAATCGATGATTATTATCCAAGTTATCTGCTAAACAAATATTATTTTTACGCGAAATAAAATTCACAACGAGTCTTATTGGATTTAATAATTTGCTAAAATAAAAAAATACCACGGATATAACTAGAAAATTCACTAACTAGAATAGTTTGAATTACAAGTATTATATTAAAAGTATTAGAAAAATATTTCCAACAGAATATTAATTTTCGTTCGTAGAATTAATCGACAGTGCATATAATAAAAATCGAAGAAATTGCATCATGGTCACGATAATGTTATCGTACGGAACAAGGTATTCGTTTCTTTTTTTTTTTTTTTTTTTAATTAACGACCGTTGCGCCAAATTTTTTGAATCGATTTGCGTTACGTAAACGCCGTTGCACTATTAAAAATCCGCCTTTGGCGTTCGTTCCACATTTTTACACGAAACATCGATCGTTTTTTTATCGATAGATCTCGTTTTGCATTGCCCGACCAAATAGCGCCCCCACCAAGCGCGCCAGACTGCGGCACTAACGAGATCATCATAACAGTGACAGACACACGGAGCCCTTGAAACTAAACGTCGCGTCGTCGTTTCCGTTCCACGATCTCGAACGACGCGATGTTCTCTCGCGATCGTTATCGAGTTCCGGTACACTCTCCGATTAGTTCGTTTGTATTTCTTTTTTACCGGTCGCGACGCGTCGTCGTCGTCGTTATTTTTAGACCAAAGACTGATTACCGGAGGCTGAGATAATGGGGCCGATCGGACGTAACGACGCAAGTCCACATTTGTGTTTACAATCGAAAATACACGGAAAATATATATTTTGGCAATCGTTATTAGGCAAATTTTCTAAACACTCACACGAGTCACGTTCTTTATCTTCGAATTGCGTCGTAATCGTACGTCATTTTACAATGCTGTATTGTCTTACAATGGCCGAAATTTTTCGCGCTTTTTTTCCTTTCCCGCTACAGCCATCTATAGTCTCGCGTGTGACAAACGTAACGTGGGTCGGCCATATTTGCTCGGCATCCGAACGAAATTCTGGCAGCTAGGCAAGGATGCTCGATAGAACGATCCACGATAAGAATTTTGTTTACGAGGTAACACACTCCCTGTTAACGGGCTAATAATTCCTAAGATAATCGTAGTCGCAGAATATCGTTGCGTAACGTCAAATTACGATCCGCTTAAATCGCGTTTAGCTTTGATGCACGGTCACGTGACATTCGATTTTTCATCGTGTGTGTACACGACACAACTATACTATAAATAACTTAACAAGATTAACGCGAATTGATTATTTTTTTTTTTTTCTATTTCTACAATCGACCAAATTAAATGACTACCAAAAATTTATCGTGCGACATTAAATTTAACGTTCGATATCTTTTCTTTTCAAATTTAACGATTTTCGTTATCAATGTGCATACTCGTTGGTAATAATTGCGTTGCATAATTGATTAATTAATTGAATCTTGTTTACCAACATTCGTTTATCGTAAAAATCGGTCGTTCGATTAATTGTTTATAGCATTAGTTTACGAGATGCACGAAACACTGTTCGTACATCAAACTCAACGCGAACGATCGATTTCGTTCCTCGAATTGCACGAGCACGTTCTTATTTGCGTTCAATTGCTTCCGACTTATCGAATGTCACGGCGAAAAGCGTACAATGAATTTTTTATGCATATGCGGTAGAGGATATGCGCAAACTTCTTTTGCGTATGCAAAAAATATGTCGACATAGAATAGAAAAGACAAAACATTGATACACATGATAAACGCGTGCGCGAAGCAAGTGTTGCAAAATTAGACTTGAGAACATTTTCTTATGTATGCACGCCTCAAATATATTCTGTACTCGTTAAAACAACAAGGCTTCGAATAAAGAAGAAAGGTAATGAAAGAAGTAATAAAATAATTGCAAATAAATTAGAAAACAGAATCAAAATTTTTAGATATTTTAAAATATTGATAATAATCGTGCGTAATAAATTTTATACATATTTGTAAGTATTTTCCTATAATCATATCGATCTTAATCAATTTTCTATTTTTCGAATTTATTTTCGTCGTATTAAAAAAAAAAAAAAAAACAATTCCTAAGAAAAAAACTTTTTATATCATGACAAATGTAATATCTGTAAATATTAATATTTGTTAACAGATTAAAATTAATTAAAAGCATCTTTAAAAAGTTTGGTTATTTACTCGAAATAACAACATATAATGAATAATTATCTTCGAAGCAAATTAATTATTCTAACCTAAATATTTAATCGCGAAGATATCGTCGAACCACCTTTAATCGGAAAAATCAACGTCTAGACATCAGGAAACATAATAACATTCTCTTCGACACACTTTGACCGACACGCAATTCGAGCGAGTATGGGACATGATTGCTTGTTGCGCGCAATTATCGTGGAAACCGTTCAGATCGCCGATTGAGGAACGTGCTCGAACTTTTCACGCGCGAATACTTACGTGTCTTATAAATATTACGTACATTCCTGGCCGCGAAATGGATCCGTGTCGATCGTCCTCGATGTTGACGATGATGATGACACGTCGATAACACAATCACTACCGGAGCACCACTGCCGTATGCCCCGCATTACTCGGCATGCCGATAGTCCGAAATCACTGCGTAAATAACAAAAATAGACATAAAGTAAACTATGAAGGGAAATAATTTTTTACATATACACACGCGTAAAGATATATGTGTACATAAATACACGTAGAAAAGAAGCTAGAACGATGTATCGCGACCGATTACAAAACACGCGACCACACGCTAATTCTCTTTTTCTACGTCGTTTCTTAGCCGGAACTTTTTCAAGGTTTCGTCGGTACGAGATTTCACAAGAGAGACAAGCATTTACTCGATAGACCACGAAATGCCGTCCTTTTCCTTCCGACACTTCGCTCCACGGATTACTTGTTTAGGATAAAACAACGTGAGTACGTGTGCGTGTACACGTGCGCGCGCGCGCACTCCTTCGACAGACGCGATGATTCGTAGTTGCTTCTAATGCGTAGTTAGCATCGCGAACCCGGCAAAATAAAGTAAAACGTAAAGGAAGGAAGGAAAGACAAAGAACCATTCCTCGAAGGTTAAAGCGATGAGACGCCATCATCGTAGCAGCCTCTATACGGTCCACGCGCCGCTTGTTTACTTTATCCCACCTTCGAACAGGTTGTTGATACGCACCTCGCGATAGTATCACGTTTATGAACGAAGAGAAATCATAATTAACGGGGTATCGATTCGGTTTTTTTTTTTTTATCAATTTGAAAAGTCGTTTCTTCGTTACGATTAATTTAAATCGTAGAACGGAAGTGTGAATTCATTAAGACAACTAAGAACAAAACTTCACGAATCGGACAAGTATATCAGATACCGTACAAGGCGACCATGTTATCGTCACTGGCGCACCTCGGATTGCTTTTTTAAACCCGACACCGTAAACTACGCGGTATTCACGCGCGACGCGTTCGACAACGCGCGTATATGCTACGCGCGACACAACAAACGCGACTCAACACGTTCGATCGTGCGAGAACACGTAATTCACTTGCAGCGTTAGGAAAACTCGTAGCACAGTAGGGGAATGATGGAAGGGAGGGGATAGAGAAAGGGTGGCCACGAATGCGAAATTCCATGTTCCGAAATTCTGATTATTACTAAATTTTCCGTATGGCGAATATATATATATATATGCGGGATCGTTGGTTAAACTCGAGAGACGAAGAAAAACACAACGAAAACGAGAGACACGTGCCACGAACAAAAGACAAGAAAACGCATATATGGAGTTTTTAGAAAAGAACGAAACGAATGGAGAAACCAGTCAGAAACATTAATTGCGACGCACGCTGTGAGACCGTTTTCTTCCCCGTCGCCATTATCGAATGATAAGAAAAAGAAGGGATGCTTTCGGCAGGGTGGAAGGGGGGTTGGAGAAAGAAGGGAGGACGAAGCGTACGGTTAGGTTAGAGACAAAGAAAGAGATATAGTTGGTGAGAGTAAGCGAGCGAGCGAGAGAGAGAGAGAGAGAGGAGGGAAAGAGAGAGAACCGGCTGCTGCTGCCCGCGTCCCGTATTGCGTAGTAAGCGCTTGAATGGATTACGTCACGCGCCAAAGGCAAGCGCAAGAGGGTAAAAGCGTCGCGTCAGACACATAACACGGACGAAGCTCCACACTGTATAGAGCATTTGTTTGTTGCATCGGTTGTTACGCGTGTCCAGCGTGCGCATTTCGCATGGAGGACTTCGGCCCCGACCTCGGTCGTTTGTTTTCCGGTCACCGACAGAGCCCCCGAGTTGCGAGAGAAACGAAGCACGCACCTACCGCCACTGTATGAAACTCTACACGCTCGTATGCGCAGCATCGTTTACCGTTCGCGCATATTCGTGTGACAGGATGCCGTTTTCCAGCGTTTCTCGTGCACCTTCGCCGCGTGCCCGAGGAACGATCGATCGTCAAGATACGATACGAGGGATTCTCCCGCGACGAGTCCTCCCATTTAGCGGACCATAGAACGTTCATCGCTACGGGTAGAACTCCCGCGTCGCTCCCCACGTGTTTTCGCGATCGAACAACAGTCAAGTCAGTCCTCTCTCTTCGTGTCTTTATTTTATCTTTTCCCTCACTATTTCTATCTTGTTCTATCGTTTTCCGTTTCCCTTCTTTTCTTTCTCACTCTGTCTCTCTTTCTGTCTCCGCTATACAACGTCGGTTCAAGTGTCCTCTTTTGTTTCTCGTTTCTCGTTTCCCACAGACTCTTCTCTCCCTTCCTCGACCATTCGCTTATTTTTCGTCTCGCGAACGAGTTTGCCAAGTCACGCCGAAAACTGGCATCGTGTTCCACGTGGGTAAACGTGTCCTTTCAAAACACCACGATTCTCACCACTGTCGCGCACGTACACATTGCATTCCACCGCGCATAGCGCGTATTTACCTTTCGGCTGTGCTCGCGTGCTCCACAATTCAAACTCTGACCGCCTCTCGTATCGCCTTCGCGCACACGAACCGACACAAGAATGATGGCGAAAAAACACTTGATACGAGGCAGCCCTTAAAAACGCAATAACAGAATACACACCAACATTCTGACGAACGAGTCAGCTGGTACTGATCCGATCGTGAACGAGTGCCGACTTCGCCACGGGTCATGGACGTAGAAGCGTCGTGGAAATACGAGTATCCTCCTCGTGTCTTGTCGGGAATCCGATTTGTGCGCCACCATTCGTACGAAGCCCTTAACTAACATCAGTACCGTATTCTACGATGCGATAGCCCTTCCTTCCATCGCCCGTCTTCTGCCATTATCGTTCGACGTTTAATCGTTTACTCGCAAATATGTTATTTGGACAATAAAATGTTGCCGAAGCTGCAAATAGTCGAACAAGACTACGTCTATTTTCCAAATTATTGTCCCGAACGTGAATATTTATCATTTAAACGGATCGGAATGGCAACGAGTCTAAATTTCGATGGTGGGCAATGCTGATAGGTTAACTTTCGATAAGTCCCCTCAAGTACGTACATCATCCTTTATTGTATATAGAGGGGAAAATGAAAATGTGTGTTGTCAGTGTCGTGTTGATCGTGCGAGTATTAGTAACTTGTTTTTAACATTTTTTGTTGTGGTGTTGGATCATTGTTTTGAACGACAGTATCGTGTATTATTTTTTATATTTGTCTCGATGAAGGTCGTATAAAAAAAACTCGTTAGAAGTGATTAATGCGTTCGCGATGACTGATCCTTTTTATTCAAATTTAATCGTGGTTCGCTCTATGTATAAAAAAAAAGTATAAAACGCGTCACGTAAAATTTTATCTCTAATGTTTGCAAACAGGCGAACGTACTGCGTTAATAAAATTCTCGAATATAAACGCTGTATTTATTATGAATCGATAAATGTTTTTATTATTATTATTATTATTATTATTATTATTATTATTATTATTATTATTATTATTATTATTATTATTATTATTATTATTCTTTTTTATTTACGTACTT